ACCATAGCACAAAACGCCTATTACACGTTGTAACAACGCCATGCTCTAACAGCATTCGTACCATTGCTCCTACTCTATTTAACCCAAACGTATCGTATCTTGCTTATTTGCCTTTGAAACGAGTTTACGTATAACCTAACCTTTGCTACGACTCTGTTCTGCCAACTAATAATATTCTAACTGTAGCATAAAACCAGTAACAGTATTCAAATTCTTCTCCCCGTTGCTCCTCTATCCTCCCAATAAACGTGTGTTGTTTACCTTGTTTAACAAGAGTTTTAAGATATTCCTTATAGCAATCCGTGGTTGCTCCAGGGTTGTCTTGATGGTATTTATAAAAGAATTCTTTATATGCTTCGTATACATCTTCGATCTCCTTTTTAGTTGCTTCTTGGACCGCCTTTTTAGTTGCTTCTTGATAGTCTTGACCGTATTGCAAAGCAAATACCAGCTGGCTCAGTGGGTCCACGTCCATTACGTCCATGTCTAGATGTTTTTATGATTTAGTGAATGATAATGGTAAAAGAAGAGTCGCGATCTAGCTCTGCACTGAGGGAAAAACTCTTTTATACGCTTCTTTGCATATCACGTTACTTGCTGTCTACATTAAGAGTTGTATCTGAAAAATCAAGTATTCCTTTAAATCGTCTGTCTAGATTACAATGAAAGTGTACTGCTTTGCCGATCATCCCATGATTCTTATTCTTCTCTAAAATTTTCATTCTACAAAAGTATTATTGAAAAGTATATCTTTTTATAGCTAGAATGATTTTTCTGTCTTTTAATTCAACTTTTCTTGAAATCATAAAAGAATATGCTAATAAAGAGAAAGAATATATATTATTTTTGATATCTTATAAATATTTTATAAATAATCTAAATATTATTATCTTTTTGATATAAGATTAACTTCAGGTGCAAGTATTATTCTTAAATCATCAAAAACATGTGTTTTTGCTAATAATTATAATACTGGAAGAGTTTATATAGTATATTAATAAGAATAATTATATTTAATCAATAAAGATCTTACTATACTTAATAATCAAGAATTAATACTTCTATTAATACTTCAGTTAGAATATTTACATCAGTTTTGTTATTATCTATCTTGATTTCAACTAAAAATGGTAACTTAATTATTTATTTAAATTTTAATAATTGTGGTTTTTATTAATGATGTTATCAGTTTTAGCCAATCAAATTTTAGATATTATATTATTATATAATTTTAAATAAATAACTTT